GTATTTTAGAATTTTTATATTGGCATTTTTCAGGGGAGATAAAGGTGAACCCTCAAGAGCAGTCAGACCTCAGTCTTGAAAGTTTAGGCTTGCTTGTTGGTCCTCCAACCTGACTTCCATAGCTCTCTGTTACTCAGGGACCAAGGTTAATAGCGACGACTTTTGTTTTGAAGGTTGAAGCCATCCAGTCAGGCTGCAGCTCGAAGTGACCTTCTGTTATTTTGAATTGGGGCTAGTTATTGATTTTCCTTTTCTTTAACCTATGGCATGGTAAAGTCTTTAATGTATATTTTGGCATTTGTACCATAAGAGTATGAACCCAGAAAGCAAAATTCCAGTATCCTTTAGCTGTTTCTAACAAAATGCGTTCTAGAAAATGATAAGGTTTGCAGTTGGACTGGGGTTTATTGATATTCACAAACCTTTCATCTTCATACACACTCACGGCATCTTCAGAGAAGTACTTAAACACGGCACTCAGAAAATGCTGATGACATGGAATACGGCTGATCCTCTTAGGGGCTGCTGCTTACACAGGAAACCTGAAAAATAATAGGAACTGAAATCTCTACCCTGTAACTTTGCCTTTCCATTCCAGGTGTTGACATTATGGAGAGGGCTGGGATTTCTTGGAGGAACGTTGCCTGTTGCGTGTCTTATATGTACATAGAACCTTTCCTGTTTGTAGGTGAAATTTATGTTCGGTTGTGAAAATAATTGATGGCAGATAGGCTTGAAGCAACATTGGAACTCAGTTGGCTTTTCCTTTGTGTGTTTACTGTAAGTGTACTCTGGGTTGTGATTTTGAATACAATCAAGACACCTGGTGCCTTTTGGAAGCATGCCACGGAGAAAGGCTCCGTATTTGTAAATTAATAGTTTGTGCCACTCAAAAAAACCAGTTGGGGCAATAATTGAATGTTAGGAATAAAGCTTAAAAATTTTCCACCTTGTAAGGTTTCCTCTCTTTTAATAAGCAAATTTTTCAAGTAACAGGCTCCACTGAAGGGAGGCAAAGTCTCAATAAGTCTTAATGTGCTATTTGCCTTTCCTCTTATTAGTGTAAAGAATATGTTCAATGCAGTGTTTAACGAGGACTGTTTAAGTCAGGGTTCAAACTTAGCCTACTGATAGAAGTAGGGAAATGTCTTTGGTTGCCAATATTAAATCATTAAACTTTATACATAAAACATCAAGTCGAATTAGGAATTAGGAATTTTTAAATAACAGGAATATATTTTGATGATTTAAAAAATTAAAATGTGACAGGCTGGTTTATAAAGACATATTCCATCAAAGGTAGCAATCTTCACAGAAATTTGCCTTTCCTAAGCCGGCTAAGATAGTCACGGAGGCTTTGTGTGTTTAAGGTGGATTTTTATACCTGGGATCAAGCATATAGTATAGTTGTAAATGTATAGCATGAACTTGTCTTGTATGCCTATGTAAAATGTGATGTATATTTCATGTTACCTAGTTCCCTTCTGATATAAGTGCTTTGGTTGTTTTGCTTGTAGGAATTAAACGTGCTGGTATTTTCTGAGGAAAAGATTGTTTTATGGAAAAGGTTTTTTCTACCCTGGGCGAGAGATACTATAGTGATCAAGTACTTTTTCTCTGGCCAGAAATAAATTATAATAACAATCACACAACCAAAGAAATCAAGAAGTAAAAAGCACCAACAGCTTCCTTTAAAATGATAAGATACGGATCTTCAAACTCCACTGACAATTGCGGGGATTTCATCCTAGAGTTTATCTTTCTTTTGCATCTCAAATGTGCAGTTGTATTTGAAATATATGTGTATTATAAGTAAATTAGCATGCAATTGGACACGTCTCTGTTCTTTCGAATGATCATGCATTTATGCTGTGACGGCAGGAAGAATGAACTGTTGAATTATTTCTGAAGTTGTTTGCCTCTCATGAGGAAAGGTGATTTGGCTATGCAAATTTAAAATGACTCGGGTTTGCAGGCACATGTTTTTCACGACATTTAGTTTAGCCAAAACAAAAGATGACCTGTCATCTCATCTGTGAAAATGTTATTTTTAGCAACTCTGAAATCAAAATGAGGCTCTGGTGACTTGGGCTTTATTTATCCTTTCTTTTAAAGCATGCCAAGGATCTACAATATTTTTGCTTAAAAACCAACTTAAATACTGATTATTTCAAAATGCCTAGAGACTTTTCTCCTCAGACATCAGGGTTATGCCAGTGTGGTGATGAGCTGAGAGGATCCTCTAATAACGGAGGAAAACCACTGCAGCACCACAGACAGCACATGCTTCCTCTCTTCCTCTACTTTCTCACCGGCGCCTCACGGCACCAATGCTCTTGATGCTATCATTATTTCCAGAGATGGGGGGGGGGGGAAGAAAAGCCTATTATAATAGTTGGCTTAATTTAAGAGAAATATTGTAATTCATGGGATTTAATTTTGATCATTTGCAGTAGGGGAGTCAAATCACTTATAAGTGACATCTCATGTTCATTTACATTTAATTTAATGGCCGATTTGAAGTTATGATTTAAATTATATTTATATTTAAAAATGAGGTTTGATTATGTGAAGAACAATTCAGGGTTAAAATTATGGGATGGCGAGCAGGAGAACTGGACTGCATCACAACCATTGCCGTTACTCATCGCTGTGGTGTGGCTAAAATGATTTTCTTAGGGATAGAGTCCTCAGGCTGCTGGGAACGGGTGTGAGTACTAGGGAGACACTGGGGAGAAATGAGGGTGTTCTCTGCTGCCAGGTACGACTCTGGTTGCGCAGGGCAGGTTGCAGCTGAACACTGGCTGCATACATCAGCAGAGAATGTGATACCCTGGCGGCGCCCACTGCAAACCCTTATTGTATATTTCCTGCTTCAGAAACCATTCCATTACCTCCTTTTCCTTCACCGTCACCATCTGCCTTCATCTTGCAACCTTGGAGACATCACATCAAAAAGGAATTTAAATCTGTAGATTTAAAAAAGTTGCGTTAACATTTCCTACGGATTAAATCCTTTAAAGAAAAAAATACCCAGGACCTTGCTTTGGTGCTGAGAACTGTTCTGCACAGTGGTGTCTACGCGGCTGCGCTCTCCCCTGCGTCTGAGTTCTGTTTGTGCATGGCTTCGGAAGCTAGTGCCGAGTGCCCCTTTAATGAGTTACTGACTTGACAAGGGACCAGATGTGACTGGGTTACAGTGGACAGAGTAGCTCAAAATAGCCTCTGCAATCTGTGACTCACCAGTGTGTGTGTCTCTAAGCAATTTTTTTATTTAAATGGTGCTTAAAAATACTGATAATATTTTGCCTGCTCTTGAATCTTGTGATGATCAACTGTGGATTTTCAAGAAAAGTAGCACAGAGACTGGTCAAAAGTACACGTCATTCAGGACCTGCAATGACGGGGTGGGGTGGTTACTCAGGAGTCGGTAGAACAATTTGTATCTAAGGAACTCATTGGTCTAGGTAGATGATGCAAAGGCAAGCATTTGGTGTTTGTTCGTTGACATCATTGTGGCTTTTCCCATAAAGATGAACTACTGTGCGTTTCTGTGTTTGTCTAAAGATAATGAATGAAGTATTATTTATTCCCAGTTCCCAATCTGAGTGATGCAGGGCCAGGGCCACAAATACACACAGCCAGCAAGATGCTTTAGGGATGTGAGAAGGATTGATGTTCATGTTTCCTGGGCTTCCATTTCTGTGGGATTTTACAGTATTAGGAGAGGTGTTTATTTTCAATGTGTTTGATTGGTGTGTTTATAAAGCTCATATCATCACTTTTTGGGGACATTATGGCTAGAGGCTTGGAGTGGGCTATGCAGAGGGAAAGAGGTCCCTGGTGTTTGTTTTGGAAAACAGGAGGGAAGAGACTATATGTGGATGAGTAAAAGAGGTGACTTTTCAGGAGGTACCTGAGCTACAGAGGTGAGATTTTCTACACCTCTGAAGCTGAGATATGAATGACCACCCTGTAGTCACACCCTGTGATGGAGGAGGCCCAGACATATGATGCTCAGAAATTCAGTGCATTTTAATTCATTTTAAGTTTAGTTGTCAAGTAGAGTATATTCTTCAAATTATAAGACCCTTTGTCTTTCTCTCAAAGTGCTGGGGGGCATTAGAGAAGTAGTAACTGAACCCTTGTGATGGGTTTATATGTTTCCAAGTATTAATACATTTTAACCTTGTGTGATCTGTGTGTGTATTGTATGTAGTGAATTTACTTGTAAGCTCAGATTCTGCTAGGCTGGCTGGTCAATGAGCTTCAAGAATCCATGTTCCCCACCCCAACCAACCTGGACAAACCACCACATCTGGCTCTTCTGTGGGTACTGGGATCTGAACTCAGGTCGTCATGCTTGTGGGGCAGGCACTTTACTGACTGAGCTATCTCCCCAACCCCTATATAAAACCCCTTTCTTCTCCTTTATATAAACGACAGCCTCAAATATCTGCTCTTCTACACCCTGCTTTCTTATGTAACACATTCAACTCTTCTTAATCATAGGAGTTGGTAAAAAAAATAAAGGGATTCACTGTTCTGTGTTTATGTATTTCTATGTTTGCTTCATGTATTTCACTGGGGATGCTCTACAAACCATGGAAACAGTTGCTACTAGACGCTTAGGTTGCTTTCAATCTTAGCTCTTATTTTATAATGTCAGCACACTCATGCAGAGCTAGTCAGAATGTGAAATGTTGCAGCCACTGTGGAAAACTGGATGCCCCAGGACTCAGAGACAGTTAGTTACTGTGTAACCCAGCAAGTCCATTTGTGGATATATAACCAACCGAAAAGCTTGTAGGTGAGGATTCTGAGGCCTTATGACTTACTTGTATGCCAGTGTGCACAGCAGCGCTATGAACAGTAACCTGATTATCAATGGAAGAATGGTTGGTAACATTTGATCTGTGAATACAATTGTGTATTACTCAGCCCTAAATAGGAAGCAGGTAAACATATCCAACATGAGTGACCCATGGTAACATATGAGG